CAGCCTAGTCTATTTCTAGGTATAAATTCAAGTACACCACCTGGGTTTCCACAGCCAATTAGAATGTGGTCTTGCTAGCAGCTGTCAGTAGATCGTAAACATCTTTTGTTATGTAAATCACAAGCACACCTGGTAGATTCAAATTGTCCTTCCAGAGTGGTAAACAAGTATGACCTGTCAATCACCTTTATGACAGTTATCACACGGCAATGCACATCGTTTCTTCCCATGATTTCTATATGCAGGGTTTGAGGTAATATGGCAAAACATAGAGTAAAGGATTCTGACAACTCATTGGGATCATTTTTATGAAAAGAATCACCAAACTTTTTGCACAGGTGGGGTACTACGAACTGCAATTCCTGGGGAGGGGGGTCTTTTCAGTATAGGCCCTCAGACCAAAACAAATAAATTATGTTGTCTGCACACTGATGAATGTGGAAAATTTACTGTACACATCTATGTGTTATTGCTGGCCTCGATACTATACAAATATATTATTTAAAATGTTGAAAAAAGAAAAAAACAATTGAAACAGTTAAAGAAATAGTAGAGGATCACAGTGTTTTTCGCACTCAATAAAAAAACATGGGAGTAGATATTGATTATTTTTTTACTAGTATTCGTCTGCTTATAGTGCATATGTTGGTCGGCCATCTCGTTAGATGTATAACAGTGTCCGGGCTTTATAATGGCCTCGTCGCCATTACTACCCATTTTGCAGTAATCGTAATTGCCCGAAGTAATTCTCTGTGATTAAGCAAGCAGTCTTGTCGTCCTTTTAAACTTTTTGATGCGTCAAACACTTCCAAGTCATTGTACATTGTTCCGAGGTCAAAGATTACGCTAAATAACTGTAATTCAATAATACGATGGTATTATTTATAAATAATGTAATTCGTGGTTAAAAAGATGTCTATATTTTCAACAATTCACAACAACAGTGTGCAATCAAATGTATATATATATATATAATGATCTATTTAATTTATGGTAATTATCTAATAATTTATTCGTGTACATGCACATAGATTGTTGTTGTATTTTGTTTAAAAATATAAGCTACCTGTGGTTGCGACTCGGCGCCTGTACTCTGCAGTCTGCCGTGGTCGGGCAGCGAAACATGCCAATTAATTGTCCAAATATAGAAAGTTTTGGTATAATCTGATATTCACCTGAAAATACTCTCCCCAAAACATCATGAATAGGTCGAAACGTGTAACATAATACGTCGAGAATCGTAGTAATAATGCAACCATTTGATGATATGGTTGGTTCCCCCATAATAATGTACGCGCATGCGCGGAACAACATTGGTATGTCTAAATGGAAATCCAGATTGGATTTCCGTGATTTGTGAATTATTTTGCAACACTGCTTTGTCCTAAGCTCTCTCTCTCTATTTCGCCAATGTATTTATTCAATGCATGCACTTCGCGTCTGGCGCCTTTTGTGGTCAGGGAAATTTGCAAAAAAAAATTATTACATTTCATACACCTTTTATAGCTGGTTTCGCAATTCCCGGTACCAATTAGATATAGTAAGATAATTTATAAATTTAGGCTAATTAATAAAAAATCAATGAGGCACACGTAATTTCTAGGGGTGTGTTGGTACGCAGAGTTTTGGGTGGAGGACTGAGATTTGGGGGGTACTTGTAGAGATTGTAGGAACGGTACTTGAGAAAATGGTCAAGGAACCACTTATGTTTAAAGGGCGACGATAGTCGGTCGTCACGCCACGCATTTTCGACATTTGTGTTCATAAACATTGATTTTCCCACAATGCAATGCGCCCTCCAATGGAAATCACAAGTACGACTTTTGACCTGGGCGCGACGTCTTCAAATCACCAAGGAAATTACATAGTTAAAGCTTGGTAACGCCTCAGTTTGTACTTGTTGGTCTACGCAACTGTCAAAGTCGCCGTCTTTGTTCATAATAATAATAATGGTGAAAGGATAAATCATAATGACGACAGATGACCGATTTCAGTTAAACTTGGTATATGTTTCATGTTCAACTGTGATTTTCCGTATTTACAGAGTACGTGGCGACCCAGTTCAAGACGAGGCTGTGAACAACAATACCATTGAAAATAATTTATTCAACGGGGCCAAACCTGGAATATTAATACCTTTTTCGTACTGTTTTAAAACAGTACTATCGAGGAACACAAACAAAATGAAATGTACTGACAATACTAGTATATTTAACTAATATGCACCCAATATATAATACTAGTATTCATTTCCTTCCCAGACTTTAAATAATAATCTATTAGTTGTCCGAGTTGTCTTGCATTCAGAACTTAATATCTTCAGAAATGGTACGCCGATGTGGGAGGGGGTACTTGAATGTTATAATAACTTGTGTTTTCTGATAATTTTATTTGTGATCAGTTACTAAATAGAATATTCTATTCCACTCGTCAGGGAGTGTTCTTGAAATGTTGATGGCCAAATAAAAGAAGATATTTGGTCGATAAATATTCCCAAACATTTTATTTGGAAATGCGACTATTATATAAGAGTGACAGATTTAGCTGTAGATGCTACGCGATGTGCGTCGTTAGGGGAAACACGTACACCAACAAATGCATTTAGAGAAATGAATCACCGGACAAACCTGGACGGGTTATACCTATATTATATATTGCAACACATGGAATGAAAAAAAGTTTGTTCTCATGCTTTATTTTTGAATGTTAAACAAAATGACATGAAAAACAAGTATATGTATATGTTACGATTATTATTCAGTGGTGACATTGTCCTGGCTCTCACCAACGGTCTCCAACATAGGAATGTCACACAGCCAACGTGGAACTCTCTTTCGCTTGATGGCTGGTTTCACGTCCTTTCCGCCCATAACAGCGCCGTTTGTCGACAGTTTCACTTTCATAATATTGAAAGCAAATGGAGTCTTTCCGCTGAATTCGTGCCTGTGTTCCTTCCCACCAACACACGTTGTCACTCGGAGACGATCTCCGTAGTAAACTTCGTCGATTATGTAAATTTTCTTTGCCTTGCGAAGAGGGGGTAGCCACAATTTGTTAATAAAAAGGCCGCCGAGCGCCCCCGGAACAGTCAACTGACTGACGTATTTCTCTATCCCGGCCATGTCAATATCAATAGTTTTCCGCAGTCCTTGCACCAGATCAGTTTGCCGATATCGGGCGCTGTTCGAAAACTCTTCTTCAACTCTATGCGCCTCTGACATGTGCTTGATATCTTGCATATTAATTTTTCCCTGATCCACAACTTCTTCAAGTTTGCCTACGTACTCGTACGTTGGTGGCTTTTTCATCATTTTGTCAACCAGGTTCTGTTTTTCCTTTACATAAACTGAGCGAAGATCGAATTTTTCCGCATGTTGCAAAAATGGAACTACATTGACGGGTCTGCCGAGTAACTGTTTGACGGTGTCGTCCTGTACCAGTGTCCATGCCAGCGAGATGTCTTCGACAGCCGTGAAGGCGTTGTAAACTTTGCGGTCCATTATAGTAAACATCGTGGCAATTCCAAACGATGCAATAACGTCGTTGTTCATTAAGATGTACCTGTACTATTGCATATTACGGTGTCACCTGACTTGCTGGCTGATGACAACGATCTTCAAATGCGTCTGTAGATATTGATTTTCTTGACGATTGGAAAACACACGTACGCACTGCGGTCTCACAACGAAAAAAATGTACGATACGAAAACGTTTTGCACAGGCGATTGTACTGGAACAGGACTGCGACGCGTTGCTTTTAGTGACGTCACAATCTTCGCTTGTCTTCCCTGAAAGTTCATTATCCGTGTTTGTGGAAGTCACCGTCGCCCCAGAAACATTGACAGTGAGCGTTTTGCGTAAAACAATGACCCAGTTGCGTGTCAGCTATAAGTATACATTGAATGTGGCCCACTGAAGTTGTGTATGACAAACGTGAACTACGCATACCTTGGTTACGAGAGCGCGCATCCCGAGTGCGCATCGAACGCTGAGCGCGTATAATGCAGAAGCGAGTACAAACGGTGTCCATCCCGTACGTGGACACCGTTTCTGCGTATATCGCTATAGTTGGGGGTTGTTAGCAACCATTTAAAAAGGACTTGCTCGTGATTTGTTTTATGATTTTTGCCCAAAAATCGGAAAAGTTAAATATTTTTTTAAAATAAGCGCCTATCGCATCATTTTCTTCAACGTCTCTGGTTCAGAAACTTGTCTGTTTTAGTCTTATAATATTAAACAATACACTATGGTGCGTTTTAATCGTGAATCATTAAAATAGCAAATAATTGTTCAAGTAATTGTTAATAAAATGCATTTTTGTGTTTTTAAGGCGACATTGTACCCGCTTCATCACCATGTTACATGATGTTAACTTACTGTAATTATGTTTGTATTTTCTAAATTTAATTTCACAGTACTGTGATATGGAGGTGAGATTTGGGGGTATGACTATTCACATTTTGTGGAAAATATTCACGTGGTTGTCTGCAGTTCCCATTCTCGACTGAAAAAAGACTTCTGATTAGTTGTACATATATGAAACACCGTATTTCATAATGGCTGGTAGGGATTGTGTCTATGAACTCTCGCGGTACCCGGAAGCATCTTATGAAATTTTAAGGAGACGGACGAAGCAGGTAGCACAACCCGGAAGTAAAAAAAGTGGGAATTTAGTATTAAAGATAGTTCAAAAAGTTGCATTTGTTACTGTGTTCTCCAACATATAGTACCCACAGAATAAATGTGGCAGTTTTATGGAGCATCCTTTGTACGGTAAAGCGGCACCACTGAAGGCAACAAAAACATCTGTCATGCTGTGATTAGCACTATACGTATATTTGCCAATAAGAAGGGGAACCCTCAGCATAACAGACATTCTCTTAATCTTTATAAATTTCACAATTCAAATTTCACAAATTTCAAATGACGACATTGCGTACTGTGTTCGTTGATTTGCTGGTTTGATTCATTTTATGATAACAGAACAGTTATCCTCGTTGTCTGTTTTTTGTCCGTTTGCTGCTGTAGTAATTTGTAAAACGTGTTCTTTTGTTTTTCTTTTCCCAGTTTCTGCTGATTATTTGTTTTAAATCTTAACCCATCTACATTACAAGGCCCAACAACACACCAACCACCTCAAACAAGTTCGGCAACTCCTAGTCTAAGCCCATCGCACAAGGTGATTGGTCGTGTACAAAGCAATTTGACGCGTGCCAATGGTCGCTGGATTTCTGCTCTGGATCTAATTTATTGTGCTTTCGTGTCCGACGCGATGAGTTGCCGTGGTGTGAATAACAGATGACCCATCAAACAACAGATTTGGTAAATGTACCATTCCCGGATAAGATTCTCTGTGAAATTCGAAGTATGTTAACGCCACAATGCTGGATAATGCGTGCGTTCTCGTCAGAATGAATGAACACGAGATGGCGCTTCGTTTAGTGGCTCCGATAGCACATATTGAAAAGTGCGACCTCTATCAGTCGATATATCTCCAGTGTGTTTTGTCATACAGTGCAACAACAACCAGACTACTAGTTCGTCAAAAATATTCGAGTTGTTGTATTTTTTTTATTTTTTCAATCTTGCTGTGTCATTAAAGTTTTTGAATAATAATTTTGAAAGACTACGATATTTTGGATTATTGCAACAGTCCCCAGAGAGCAATTTTAAAGGGCGGCAGTCGTCGTGCTGCGTCCTGTTCGATATGGGACTCATAGCGACGTATACAACGCGTGTAAAATACATGTACATTGTTTATTTACATGAAATTCGAACACGCGCTGCGCGACGACCACCGCGCTTTAACATCGTGACCGCTGCGTGGATTCACAAAAACACCGTGCAACATGTGCACTTTTAATATCATATTGCAAATTTACGAATTGAAAATCGTTCGAGATGTTGAGGGAAAATTTTAAACCACGGGACACGCGACATACATTATATTTGCGTATGTTTACCGTGATTTTGCTCAGCACCACCGCCATATTCTATTTTTCGAATATTTTTTTTCATAATTCTTGAAAATCTGCTGAATTGAACAGATGAATTTGATTGCAACTAATTGATCTTACCGTTGCCATAGTCTCCGATCGTTGAAAATCGTGTAAAGGGCTCATTTAGAAATTTTCTCTTTTTAATAACTTGAAATTTATGCAAGTTATTGTGGCAATATAACCTTCAAATCTCCCATCAAATTATATAAGCATTGAAGTATGAGTAAAATTACAGCGTATTTCTGGCTTATTTTGATTTTTGTTGTTGATTTTCCGCTTTTCCGGATATTTATCTGGGAAATAAAGTAGCGAATATCTTTGGCAAACGCACAGTATTAATGTAACTGGGATTATAAAATGTGCTGCCTCCAAGGGTCAGCACAGCTGAGTCATGTCATATACGCCACCTACCGACACAAAAAGCAGATATAGCCTCGCTCATTTTTACTGCTCAATAAATACCATACGGACTGATCTCTGAAAACATATGGTCCGTGGTTTATTTAATAGTGTGTTTTTGTGTGTAAGTAGATAACATGATAGTTATGCCAGGTGGAAATTATTACAACAACAAACGATTAATATATCTCACTAAACGTTTTATTACCCACGTGTTGGTTTTTATGAAGCTGTATTAACCGCGAACGTATGCTGTCGATGTCAATACGCACTGATTTCTGTCGTCAAGTATGCATGCATGTACGGTGGTCCATAACACAAGTTCGGCAATATGATACGATCGTCGGTGATGTTATAGGATTGGAAAATTATGTGATTCATTCACACTGAACCGAACACCAATATGTTATACGACAAAATAAAGTAATGCTATGCCGAAATGTAGTCTGTAAACAGATTCATAATTGGACTATTTGTTCTCGGAATATAAGTAATATTATTATACATCTGTCACCGTAACGCCATAAGTTACAGCGTGCCGTAATTTTGCGGTATTTTACGGGGTATTTTCATACTACCATATTTGGAAATGCAAATTCCAAATATGGAATGATTACGCGCGTAAGCGTCCTCTAATAATAAAAAAAACATGGCTGCCACCAGGATTTGACCGGACTCCATACAAAGAAGTTCGTTGATTCTGTTCTAAACTTATTGGATTTCGGCATTTCCATGATGTATCCTTAAAGGGAAAAGATGTATAATAATAAGGTTATTACG